GTGCATTCTTTTGGTCTCCAGGAAATCATACCCTATCGCACTCCACACCCGTAATTTGGCTTGAGGGTCTTTTCTCTGTCCTTTCCTATTGTTGATCACCTTGTGTTATAATTGACTGGAATCCCCTCAAGAAGCCTGGATATATCTTGCTCTCTGTTGTATCCCTAACACCTAGCACAGGGCTGGCACATAGGAAAAAAATTAATATATATGTGTTAAATACAAATATACAAATAATATTAGAAAAAATGAAGACCTAGACAGGACCGTGAACTCCCTGAGGGCTGCTATTTTCTCTGGATCACTTTCAGTGCCTAGCAAGGAATCTTGTACTTGGGAATCAATAAATATTTTTCAAATAATAATTTTTCTGTATCTCTTGAGAGTTGTTTTTAAATTTCCAAAAGGATTCCTACTCTTTATCAACTTGCTTCTTCTCTACATGTCCAAATAGTCTGACTCTTCAAAGTTCAACTGAAAAGTACTGTTTTCCATGGAGTTTGCTTTACCAATCCCTTTGTTCTGGCTATCTATTGCTGTGTAACAAACCACCCCAAAACCTAGTGGCCTAAAACAACACTCTATCACTATGCCTCACAGTTCTGAGAATGGTCTGACATATGGCTGCAATCATCTGCGAGCTTGACCGGGCTGAATGTCCAAGCTGGCGCACTCCCACGGCAGGTACTTGGTATGGGCTGTTGGTGAGTGAAGAGCTCAGTTGAGGCTCTTGTCTAGAACAATTGCAAGTGGCCTGTCCCTGTGGTTTGGGTTTTTCATTACACGGCAGCCTAGAGATATTTACTCTTCCCACATGATCACTGGCTTCCAAAAGGCAGGAAGCAGAAGCTTCCAGGCCAGTTAAGGACCAGGCCTAGAAACAGCTCAAGTGTCACTTCTACTGCATTTTATTGATCAGGGCTATCACAGGCCCTCCTGGATTCAAGGAAATGGAGAAATGAACTCCATCTTTTGATGAAGGAGTGTCAAGGTCATAAGTACAGAAGAGCTTGAAGGATGGGAGATATTTTTATCACCATCTCTGAAAAATAGAGTCTGCCCTATTGCATCCCTTGGGGCAAAATTTATCCTTTTCTGGTTTGTTCTCTAAATACTTATTCCTTTTGTTTTTTTATCATTGATTTCCACCTCTGGGTCCAGAATTATTTTGCTAGGAAATGTCTCTCAATCTATAGGCTTGCAAAACGTTGAGTAAATGGAGTAAAACTGTATGACTCAAGCATATACAGTTGACACCGAACAACAGGGTTTGAACTGTGAAGCGTCCACTTATGAGCTGATTTTTTTCAATAAATGTAGTACAGTCATATAAATGTATTTTTCTTTTCTTTATGATTTTCTTTTCTCTAGCCTACTTTATATGTAAGAATACAGTGTATAATACATAACAAACAAAGTATGTATTACTATGTTACCAGTAAGCCTTCTGGTCAACAGGCTACTAGATACTAGTAGGCTACTAGCAGTTTTCAGGGAGTCAAAAGTTATAGGTGGATTTCGACTGTGCAGGGGTCAAACACCCCTAACCCCCATGTTGTTCAAGAGTCAACTATAATTATTATTAAAGTGTATGTAAATGTTTTTTTGAAAGATTTTTATTTACTTGAGAGAGAGAAAGAGAGAGAGAGAGCAGAGGGACAAGCAGACTCCCCGCTGAGCATGGAGCCCAGGACCCTGAGATCATGACCTGAGCCAAAGTCAGTCACTTAACCAACTGAGCCACCTAGGTGCCCCACTATATGTAAATGTTTTACGATTAAATTCATTATATTTTTTTTAACCAACCCGTATTAGAAATTTAAATAATGCTAGGGATCTGTAAAATGTTTACGTAAAAAGTGGGCCTTTATACTCAAAAGTGGTTTGCTAAGCACTGATTGGTTTATCTGTTTGTCTCTTCTTAACTGAATTAGGTGTTATTGAGCCCAAGGACTTAGCTGGATAACCTTTAGATCCCTAAAGTTTAGTAGATTAAATCATACATAATAAATGCTGAATAAATTTTGACTTGGTTTCATTACAAATTTTATTTAAAAATGTAATATCTACCATGCATTTATACATTTGACAAATACTAATCAGGTACTTATTATGTTGCAAACACAATGGTAGAGGCTAGGATCAAATGGTGAGCAAACCATTTTGCAGCCCAGTGGGGTAGACATATTGACCATACAACCACCCTAAAGATACAAACTTTCAACTGGGATAAGCTCTTTGCATTAGTTTCTGCAGGCTGCCATAACATAGTACCAAAAACCAATTGGCTTAAGGAACAGATTTTTAGTATCTTATAGTCCTGGAGCCTAGAAGTCCAAGGTCAAAGTGTCAGCGTATTGGTTCCTCCTGAGTGCTGTGAGGGAGGATGTGTGCTAGGCCTCTCTCCTGGGCTTGCAGATGCCCAGCTTCTCCCCGTGTCTCTTCATATCATCTTCCCTCTCTGTATGTGTCCAAATTCCCCTTTTTAGAAGGACACCAGTTGGGTTAGGACTCATCCTAATGACCTCATTTTAACTTCTTTATTTTATTTTATTTTTTTTTTTAAAGATTTTATTTATTTATTTGACAGAGAGAGAGAGTGAGAGCAGGAACACAAGCAGGGGGAGTGGGAGAGGGAGAAGCAGGCTTCCCGTTGAGCAGGGAGCCCGATGTGGGACTCGATCCCAGGACCCTGGGATCATGACCTGAGCCGAAGGCAGATGCTTAACGACTGAGCCACCCAGGCGCCCTTAACTTCTTAATTATCTCTGTAAAGACCCTCTCTTCAAATAGGTCATATCCTAAGGTACCAAGGTTAGGACCGTACCATATGAGCTCAGGGGTGCGCAATTCAACCCATAACATTTTTCAAAGGAAAAGCCTGTAGCGCTGTGAAAACTCAAGGAACTCAAGGAAGCCTTCCTCGAGGAAGAGATCCAAATAGCCAGTTAGTATATGAAAAAGAGTTTAACTTTTTAGCAGTCAGTCATATTAAAATCACACACCTTCCTATTTTACCTATCCACCGCAAGATTTAAAAGTTTGAGAATACCATGTGCTGGCAAAGATAGGCTCTCAGAAGCTGCCGGTAAGAAAACACATCGATAGAAAACTTCGAAACAGTTTCACATAATAAAGGTGAAGATACATAAACCTTTGACCAGGGATTATTATGCAGGTGTGTATCAAGATACAGGTACAAAAATATTCTTTGCAGCATTGCTTTTTATTTATTTATTTATTTATTTATTTATTTATTTATTTATTTATTTATGAGAGAGAGAGAGAGAGTGAGCAGGGGAAGGGGCAGAGGGAGAGGGAGACAGAGAACCTTACACAGGCTCCAAGCTCAGCGCGGAGCCCAACTCAGGGATTACTCTCAGGACCCTGAGATCATGACCTAAGCTGAAATCAAGAGTCGGACGTTTAACTGACTGAGGCACCCTTTGTTGTTGTTGGGTTTTTTTTTTAATTTAAAATCAATTAATTAACATATAGTGTATTATTAGTTTCAGAGGTAGAGGTTAGTGATTCATCAGTTGCCTATAACACCCAGTGCTCATTACATCGAGTGCCCTCCTTAATGCCCATCACCCAGTTACCACATCCCTCTACCCATCTCCTCTCCAGCAACCCTCAGTTTGTTTCCTATAGTTAAGAGTCTCTTGGGGTTTGTTTCCCTCTCTGATTTCATCTTATTTTATTTTTCCCTCCCTTTCCCTCTGTTCATCTGTTTTGTTTCTTAAATTCCACATATGAGTGAAATCATATGATATTTGTCTTTCTCTGACATTTCTTTTACCCTCTAGTTCTATCCATGTCCTTTCAAATGGCAAGATTTCATCCTTTCTGATGGTTGAGTAATATTCCATTGTGTGTGTGTGTGTGTGTGTGTGTATACCTTCTTTATCATTCATCTGTCGATGGACTTCTGGGCTCTTTCCATAGTTTGGCTATTGTGGACATTGCTGCTATAAACATTGGGGTGCAGGTACCCCTTTGAATCACTATGTTTATATCCTTTGGGTAAATATCAAGTAGTGCAGTTGCTTGGTCATAGGGTAGCTCTATTTTTAACTTTTTGAGGAACCTTCACACTGTTTACAGGGTGGCTGCACCAGTTTGCATTCCCACCAACAGTGTAGGAGGGTTCCCTTTCTCCGCAACCTCGCCAACATCTGATGTTTCCTGAGTGGTTAATTTTAGCCGTTCTGACTGGTGTGAGGTGATATCTCATCCCTGCAGCACTGTTAATAATATTCCCAGGTCATCATTTCATAGTATATACATTTATCAAATCATTGTGTTGTATACATTAAATTTATACAATGTTATATGTCAATTATATCTCAATAAAAGTGGGAAAATATTCTCAGACCAGAGACAACTCAAATGTCCTTCAACAGTAGAACAGCTAATTAACCTGTGAGATTGTATGCAATGGAAAATCATAGAGTAGTGGAAGTGGATGGCCTGGAGTTTGTGTACAGTCATATTGTTGAGTTAAAGAAGAGAAGATACACAAGTGTGATTCTAATTATGTGATTCAAAAGCAAGGATGGGTTATTACAAAACTCAGAATAACATTTACTCCTAGGTGAAAAGTTGGGGATCATTAACTGTGGAGCAGGTGGTGGGAGCTATGGAGGGTTGGCAGTGATATTCTGTTTTCGACTAGAGTGGTAGTTATATGGATGTTTGCCTTCTAAGTATTATGTAAACTGTACATATTTTGTGATCTTTCTGTATGAAAGTTATATCTCACTATAAAAGAGTTAAAAAAGAAAAACACCAGAGTTACCTCTGAAATCATACCGTTTAATCTTGAGTTCATCCCATTATTTTTGCAAATGATGCTTTCTGCTGGTGATTGAATAAATCAACTGGACAGCCGAGACTAATACAAGTAAAATTACATGTGATGTTGCATTTTGCCAGTAAAAATTCCCTATATTTGTGAAATCAGATAAAAATATGAAACAAATTTCTTTGATTCTTAGGTTGGATCATTAAATGCATGCTTCCTTGCAAAGAGGAATTTCCAAGTTGATGTATATGAAGCTAGGGAAGGTAAGACAAGACTGAAACTCATGAGATGTGAAAATTCTGATTCTCTGACATCTTTCTCTTTAGATTTTAAAAAGAAAGTGTTTTAGAAAGAGGAACTTATTTTTTTTTTTGCAACCACAACTATCTAAATTTAATTTACTACAAAATCACGACTATTAGTGTTTTCTTTAAGGGAGCTAACAGGGGTCTTTTAATTTGGTTCTGATTGCACCAGTTGTTTAGGTGTTATATGCTTAGCCTCTCCTGAGGTATAATACAGAGTCTACTTTCAATGTCTTAGATATCCGAGTGGCTAAATTTGCACGTGGAAGAAGCATTAACTTGGCCCTTTCTTATAGAGGACGACAAGCCTTGAACGCCATTGGCCTGGAAGATCAGGTACCTTGTTAACACATTTTCCTTGTAAAAGATAATACTTGCCATTTTCCAACAACGTTGCCAAACTTCTCACTGTCTAGTGTGTCACTTGGAAATGTGAACAGAAGTAACATATTTTGCTGAGAGTACTTTTGCTGATAATGTGTCTTTGGGATGATACAAATTTCCTTAGGTGTGTGTGTAGGAAAACACTCTGCATGGGGCTTCAGGAGTCCTGGGGTTTCCTCCTCATGCATTGCTTGCTCGCTTCTGTGATCATGAGAAAAATCACTTATAACCTCTTTGACACTGAACCACTTTCCTTAATTGTAATACGTGATTTAGACCAGATACAATTTAAGTCAATTCCAAAATCTAAAGGTTAAAAAAAAAATCAAAACCTAAGATTTGCAGGAACATAATTTTCATTAAGTTTCCATCATACTGTGCTTCCCATAATCCTTTGCATTAATTTTTAATTTTTTGAAAATATTTGAAAAATCACATTTTAAAACCGATGTCTAACTTATTTGCATGATGCCACGTTATGGTAATTGAAATTGATATTTCTGGTTTTATTTCAGGTTGTATCCCAAGGCATCCCCATGAGAGCAAGAATGATTCACTCTCTTTCAGGGAAAAAGTCTGCAATTCCCTATGGGACCAAGTCACAGGTCGGTTAACCCTGAAGATAGTGTTTGCTTGCAGTTGAGTCTAATGTCTGGAATGTGACTCTTGCTCATTGGCCCTTCCTTTCCTCTCTAGACCTTTCTTTGACATTGCCTGTATCAGTCTTCCACTCAGAAACATATACTAGTTAACAAGTTAATTGACAGGAGGCCGTTAAAATAGGGCCCAGTTTCTAATAACCATTCAGTAGGAATTAGTTACGTTGTCATCACTATTAGGCTCTTTTTTGCCTGTATGCATCGCTCATGGTGGCCTGGGACACCTTTTCTCTCCCATCTCCTTTTAATTACATAAAGAAGATTACCATGTATTTATTGTCAAGCATAAAATGCAAGAACAACTCTATAGGGTTTTCCCCAAACTGACTCTTTTGCCCCAAATTTAATTATAATGGAATTTATAGAATGAACCAGAAATTTTTTCAGTGCTATATAATTCTACAACAACAGAGGCCAGATGGTGATGTAGTTTACAAAAGAAAATCCATTATCCTGCTTTGTGTTTTTCTTATCTTTACATAGTAACACACAGAGTTGGGGAAAGTATGTATTTTTATCTAATATTTATACCTTCTAAATTTGTTTCTTTGAGAGAGAATGAATGTACCAAACATCTATCAACTAGAGAAAAACCCAACTTGCTTTATCCAACAAGGCTTCATTTTACTAAGTGCAGAACCCAAGGGAGGTTTATATTCTTTGTCTCTGAGCTCCCACAGAGCTCCCATTGCAGATGGATCAGCAATTCTCAGATTCCACTGGGATCTTGTCAAAATGCAGAGTCTGATTCTGTAGGGCCAGGATGGGGGCTGAGATTATGCATCCTAAATACACCCAGTCGGTGTCTGTGCTGCTGGTCTGTGGACCACGTGTTGGGCAGCAAGAGATAAAATACAGGTGCTCATGGGAACAAGGTCTGTGTGGTGCTTGAAGCACCTCACACCTGTTAGGATGCTACTATCAGAAAACAGAAAGAGAAACAGAAAATAGTGTTGGGAAAGATAACGGAGAAATTGGAACACCTGCACATTGTTGGTAGGAATAGAAAATGGTGCGGTCGCTATGAAAAACAGCCTAGTGGTTCCTCCAAAAATGAAAAACAGAATTTCCATATGATCGAGCAGTTCCCCTTCTGGGTATATATCCAACAGAACTGAAGGCAGGGACTTGAGGAAATATTTGAACCCTTGTGATCATAGCGGCATTATTCACAACAGTCAAAAAGCAAAAGTGACCCAATGTCCATCAATGGATGGGTGGATAAACAAGATGTGGTGTACACATATGTAAGATAATAGAAAATAAAATATTGGTTTCTGCCCCTGGTTCCTGGCACAGAACTCCTAAAACTCTTGTAATTTCCTAAATGATTAAAGCACTAGGAGATCTTTTGTTCTAATATTTGGTCTTTGACTGTGGTTCCTAACACAGAGCTCCGAAATCCCTTGGAATTTCCTGGGTGATAAGAGTATCTTTTGTTATAATCAGGTAACTCTTGGTGGGCTCCTGGATGGGGGCTGGTCACCAGAAAGACCAAGGCATAATAAGAAGCTTGGAATTTCCCCCAGAGTGGGGAGAGGGGCTGGGAGTGGAGTTAATGATCCATCATGTCCGTGTGATGGAGTCTTCATAAGAATCCCAAAAGTATGGGGTTCAGAGAACTTCCAGGTTCATGCACACACAGAGGTGCTGGTGGAAGAATAGCACACCCATAGAGGGTGAACACATATCTTGCCCTACACATCTTTCCATCTAGATGTTCATCTGCACCCTTAACCATATCCTTTTATAATAAACTGATAAACAGTAAATCAACTGTTTTCCTGAGTTCTGTGAGCTGCTCTACCAAGTTCATTGAACCTGAAGAGGGCCTCAGGGGAACTTGTGATTTATAGCCAACTGGGTAGAAACCCAGGTACAAGCTACATTGCCATTGGCCTTTGATGTGTGTGGGGGGGGTGCAGTCTCATGGGACTGAGCCCTTAACCTTTGGGATCTGAGGCTATCTCCAGGTAGATGGTGTCAGAATAGTTAAATTGTGGTACAGCCAGCTTGTGTCACTGAGAAATTGCTTGGTGGAGGACCCCGCCCCCACATCTGGTGTCAAAGTGTCATGCGTGTGGTAATAAGTGAGAGTAAAGAAGACACTCCCCAGAGGAGAAGGGGAGGTTTTTCTATACAACATGCTTTGGAAAACTATTAAGCCTTAAAAAAAAGGGAAATCCTCACACCTGCTACAACATGGTTGAAACTGGAGGACTTTAGACTAAGTGAAATAAGCCAATCACAGAAGGACAGATGCCATAGTACACTTATGTGAGTATCTAGAGTAGATAAATGCATAAAAAAGGAAAGCAGAATGGTGGTTGCCAGGGCCTGCAGGGAGGGAGATGTGGGGAGCAATTGTTTAATGGGTAGAGAGTTCCAGATGTGTAAGATGAAGCGTTCTGTGGAGGGATGGTACAGCTGGCCGCGCAGCCATGGGAATGTCCCGAATGCCACTGAAAGGTACACTTAAAAAGAGTTAAGATGGTCAATGTTGTATCATGTGTGTTTTACTACAATTAAAGTTTGCTTAAAAAGTGGTTGAAAAGTAAAACATTCCAACAACTAAGCGCCTATAGGAATGTGGGCGGGTGGTTGGCAGGGAAAGATCAAAATTTTCCATTTAGTGACATTCTCAAATAATAACCCACTGATTTGGGCATTATAAAAATATAGGTACAGAGTCTTAATGCATTAACCAGGCAGGAGAAGGAAGCAGAAGGAAGTCTACTGACCATCCATAGGCAGATAAGCATTTTTGGATAATTAATATGTCCTGTTTCATCGGCCCCAAACTGAGCATGGTGCTGTAGGAAAGAAACAGGAGACTTACACACGCAGGGCCAGTGTAAGCTGTACATATTAACTGTATCCTTTCCGTAAACAACTGTCTGCCTGTGCACCACACCCCTTGCTTGTGCTACTTACTGAGGACCCGAGAGGAGCTTGCAACCTCGTGAGGACAGACAGTAGTCAGGTTTTTATGGAAAGAACTCTTCTGAGTGATGCTTAGCTGTGTGGTTCAGAGAAGAGGGAGGTTTAGTTTTCAGAGACCTCACAGAGAAAGTGAGGTTTGAGACAGACATCTTGTTTAAATATTAAATCGGCACCAAAATAATGTTTTTCGCAATTAAACGAGAGTCCATCTATGGAGGGGAGTTGGGTGAGACCAGAATTCTAAAAAAAAAAAAAAAAAAAAAAAAAAGTAAACTTTTAAGGCCAATTGTGTATTGGATAAGAAAACTCATAACGTACTTTCACTATAACACAGTCTTACAGTGATCAGCAACCTTGGGCTCTTTGGATCCAACCACCTTGCTTTACTGATGAAGAAATAGGCTGCATGGGTACATGAGGTCCACATCAGGGGCGATGCAAGGCAGGTGTCCTCATGCACAGTGGCCGGCACCCCACAGTGGAGAAAGCGCTCCCAGGAGTGCTGAGCTGGCTTCATTACTTGCACTCTTGCTTTTGCTAAATTGAGAGGGACCGTAGTAATTGTCCTACTTTTGTCTTGGAGTCACAGGGAATTAGCCAAGTAGACCAATTCCGACATCATCCCCCCTCACCTCCCCAGAGACTGAGCCAATAAAGTGTGAGTAGACCGAGGAGGAAGACATGGTTCAGAATATCAGGAAAGTTAGATGAGCAGAGTGACTTGGACTTGCGCCTGAAACTGGCTTCCTTACCCAGCACCGGGGGGGGGGGGGGGCAGCGCCCTCTCCACTGACGGCCAAGAGGGTGAAGGTGTTGGTGGGAGTTCCCATTTGGGGCCTTCGCTACGTTAGAAGAGGCAGGAAATGATCGCTTGCCCACGGACCCTGCCATTCTCAATTCTTAAGAACTCAGTTAATGCTGAATTTGCAGCCACCTCTCTTTCTTTGGTTTGCATTATTACTTTTATAACAGGGTCGAACACGGAGCTTCCTTTAAGAACAACATAAAATTGTTCTGAATCGCTCAATTCCACAGCCTGTGGAAGTGCAAAGCCCTCCCCGTGACCCCAGGATTTTGGCAAATCCTCAGGCAGCCCATCTTCTATTGGCCTCCCCACTTCTCCGAGCCTCCCTCCTCCACCTGTTTTCTCTGCCCTTTCTTCCTGGCCAGGGTCAGACTCTTCCAGTCTTGCTGGTTCCCACCATCTCCCTCCCAAATTGCCCTGGGAACTGTCAAAATATTCCCTGATATACAGAGCAGGTCAGAACTCCCCAACTTTTTTAACGATGCAGAAAAATAGATTTTTAAAATTTTATTTAATTCCAACGTAGTTAATGTACAGTGTTATATTAGTTTCAGGTGTACAATACAGTGATTCAACAATGCCCTGTATTACTAGGTGCTCATCACAAGTGCACCCTTGATCCCCTTCACCTATGTCACCCATCTCCGCACCCACCCTAGCTCCCCAATCCTCGCCCCTAGCCTCCTATGCCCCAAGTGGAGAAATAGCACCCCCTTCCCAGAAAACATCCCCGTTTGCAGGCTTTCAGGATATAGAGTGGAAACTTGTTTTTCTAATATACTTGACTACATCAAAAACTAATGATGTACTGCATGGTGACTAACATAACATTAAAAAAAAAAAAAGTCAGTGCTGAAACTACTGTTTTACAAATCTCCAAAGGAGATTATCCAACTTCCTTTAGGTTTTATTAATGATGTTTTTGGTTACCAGGGCCACTTTATACTTCCTCACTTGTTTGTTCTTTTCTTTTTTAATTACTGTTTAATTTTATTAAGGACCTTTGTGAAGGTTCACTTGAAACAATTTAGTCTGTCCAGTCCAATTGAGTCACGAAGCAGCAAAAGCGGGCAGTTTGTGTTGGGTCAGTAATGTTCATTTATAATTACTCTACTACATGGCTGGGAAGAATACACAGAATTGTACAAAATGCAATATGATGAGTAAGGACAGTTGAATAATGACGCATAAAATAGATTAAATTGTAGTCATTTGAGCTGTTCCTTGAGATGTATGGCTGTCAGCTGGAATCCAGCATTCTTTTTGTTGCTGTTTTTGTTTTGATAAATTAAATAAGTTCGATAAAGTGATCCAGATAGGAAATCTGGAGCTGGAATATGAGAATTATTTCTTTGTAGCCTTCATCAGAGATGAGGGGTTCCCCCCCAGCTTTATTGAGAAACAATTGACAGACATCACTCTATAAGCTCAGGGAGAACAGCATGATGGTTTGATTTATATGTATCATGAAGATTTGTCTGTTCTCATTCACATTTTCTCTTCAGAAGATCAACCTTTTAGAATAGGCATTGGAGAAGTGAGGCTTGATGCGGGAGGCTCTAACTTTTGCTCGTGACGCAATGCTGCCCCTGGACCCCGGGGAAAATTGACAGGGACCCTCTCCACAGGACCAGTGTGCGTATCAGTTCCCAGATGATGCAGGTGTCAACCAAGCCTCGCAACCGAGATGGAAAGAATATTTTCCCCACGTCAATGAACCTTCCTAATTTAAATGTTTCCTAACATAGTCTGAATAACAAGTGTGGTTTCTGTTGAAACGAGGTGATTAATGACACAGAAGACTAGAAAACAGAACAAAGGCAGAGAATGAAGAAGTCCTGTTCATTTTAATTTATAGCAAAGACACAGGAAACCCCCTCCTCAGTCATTGTCTTTGTAGCATGACCCAGTTATTTTTATACCAACTATACATTTAGCTGTTAATATTAAATGTCTACTTTTGGATGAGGTGAAGATTTATAAATTAGCATATTTGCATTAAATGATGTGACGCTTCTCAATTTGGGAAGCACATGCTTTAAATTTTAAAGACCAGACTCACCCTGAATTGCAAGTCTGCATTACCGCTTTTGTGGGCTCTGGGTGGGCACTTTTGTCTTTGTGGGTCCCTCTCTCTCTGAAACAATAAATATTAAAAATTAGATTTTATGAATGCATTGGTATAAAGATTAATCCAGGCTGGATTCATTCTCATATATTTGTTATATTTTTTGCTTCTGATTTTAGTATCAACTAAAATTAAAACATTTTCATGGACCCCTAAAAGTATGTGGGCCCTAGGCATTGTGCCCTCTGTGCCTCAGGGAACAGTCGGCCCTTGCTGAACTGTCCTATAAAGTCGGAGAAAAAGAACACACTGTCCCAGGGAGGGCTGATCCTACTTCTACCAATACTTTGGGCCCCCCTCCCCACTCCTTTCACGTTGAGATGAATGCCTTCAAAGTAGTCTCTTTAGGAAATAGTATGTTTATTCTAGTGATGCTGTCATTACTGAAGTTTTTCTAACAGCTCGATTTGGAGACCTAAGATGAAAATGTGAGATTTTTGAGATGTTGTTAAAACAAAACTATCTTAGTGAAAATAACATTTTTTTTTTTTTGCTGTAAAAAGAGGATTTGGTTTTTGTGGTATCAAAGCTTAAAAAGCCTAAGTTTAAACTTAAACACTGTATTATATGTATTTGGTCAAAGTGTTTATTTTTTTTAAAAGGCTACTTAACTAAATGGCTATAAAACTAAGTTTGCAACCTTCTGCTAGATATTTCCTATTGCTGAGTGAATAATGTGAGACATATTTGTCCAATTCTCCAGAAGCAAATAGTATCTACTGTATTTTTCTTGCAGTATATTCTTTCTATAAGCAGAGAATATCTAAACAAGGAACTATTGACTGGTAAGTCCAATGCTTTATTCAGCAATTGTCATTTCAGTAAAGTGCATGAACCTAACTAACCTTGTCACATGATTTACTGGGATTTGCTTATGATTCCTTTTCCTGGGTTATTCACGGGTTATTAGGGCAGGGTATGTACAATACAAAGTCCTTCTTGAAAAGTAGTTATGATATATCCTCCGGCATCTCTCTCTCATCTTATCGCTAATCGAAATAAAAATCATTTGTTCAACACATTCGATTCCTGTTGTCTTCTCAGCACTGGAATGAATGAGTGCTCACTCCCCAAAAAACTCATGGACTAGAGGAACAGCAGATACCCTCGAAGGACGGGCAGAGTGGCACAATTAGCCCTGCACTACCGAAAAATGAAGAGCAGTACTTGGAGGCTGAAGAGGGCTGTGGTCTTTAGAGTATTGCGATAATCCCTGGGTGCGTCAACCGAGCCCTGGACTAAAAGCTAGAGCACAGGAGACAGAGGGGAGGGCGAAGGCTCATGATATTTGTGGGAGACCAAGTAGATAGAGGATGTAGGAGGTTGAAAAAAGAGGAAGTTGTGAAATATGCTCTGAAGACTTCAGTGTGTTACAGACCCACCCATTAATGGAAAAGCCACTGGATTGCAAATTAAATTTGTAGCTTGGATAATCAGTCCAATTACCTGCCAGGTAGCCCTTGATCATAACAGTTTTTTCTCCTCATCAGCATTTGTGCTAATCAGGTCCATTCCCCACAAAGCATGACACTTGAGTAATTCTACTATCTTTTAAGTCAATTCCTCTATGCAATCCAGCAGCCTCTGAGTTTTGGGGAGCAGAGATTCTTTGTGGTTTATCTGTGTTTCTCCACAGCCCCCTACCCAGCGTGAGTTTGCAGTGTGTCTGTTGAATTGAATTCAACGGGCAGGAGTCATCTGTGAAGTTCACTGCTGCTGATTCACCAGGGACTTAAGAAATGGGGCTTAGTAGTCTTCTTAATCCTACTTCCTTACTTATATTTGCAAGACTATCCTTTGGATGGGTAGGTGTTGGGGGCAGGGATAGGTTGCTAGATATACTCATATTGCTCTCAAGAAGCCCCAAAACAGCTTTTTTTAAAAAGTAGTCTATATCAGACCTAAGACAATCTGTTTAGAGCATCTTCTGAATTTATTAGGATAAAAATGAGAGCAAACATTCACTGAGGTACCAGGAAGTATGTTAAGTGCTCTATATGCATTGATTTATATAACCCTCCCAACAGCTCTGTGAGATGGGAACTCTTTTCCCTCAGTTTTACAGGTGGTGAAGGAGGCTTCCAGAACCCCGACCCCCACCCCCCAGCAGTCCACATTGTTAATAAGTGGTAGAGTTTGGGCTGGAGCTTGAGCCCTTACTCCAAAGTCCATGCCTTTAACCCCTAGAGTCCGTGCCTCCAATATTACACACGAAACATCTGCTAACAGTAGGAGCCACAACTTGGGAAGAGCTGATCTTGGTGGACAGACCAGAAGCTCCCAGACCTGGTTTTCCTTAGGAATGTACTGCACAGTGTATAATTTCATAAATGCCATAAATACGTGAATAAAGTGAACACGGACTCTCTTCGCTCCTAAACGTTGTTTGGCATTTGAATTCTTTCACACAGTTGTCAGTCCTTTAAACAAGTGTGTGAGCCGCCGGCTTCCTGGGCAAACACTGGCTCCTGACCGAACAGCAGCCCCCTCCCCGAGACTCAGGAACGAAATCATTGCCCTGTATCCCATGTAGGATTGTTTCTTGGTTCACTGTTCAGCGGGGGATGTTAATAATTGTTAAGCAAAGCAAGCAGGAAAAGGACATGTGGTCACGTATGTGTGATAAATCCTGCATGAAACAAGTTTTATAAGTTTTCTTACAGTATTTCTTACAATATTCCTCAGGGCCTTTATTCTAGTATATGTGCTGCCGAAGCGAGCACCAGGGCCTTTATTCTAATGGTCGGCATGGTGGATTTTCTAGAGCAGTGCTGTTCGAGACATGACCACAAATGGCAGCCACATGTGTAATTTAAACTTTTATATTAACCACATTTAAAAGCCAAAAAAGAAACAGGTGAACTTAAGTTTAACAATACGTTTTAACCTAATAGATCCAAAATATTATCATTTCAATGTGTAATCAACAGAACACAGTTATTCATGAGACTTTTTTTTTTTTTTGTACTGAGCTGCCAAAACCCAATGTGTACAACACATCTCCATTCAGTCTAGACACAGAGGGCTGAGAACCAGGACCGGACAGCTCAGGGAGGTCCGAGTGTTAGCATTTTGCTAATGGCTTTGACCCCAAAATGGTTTTGATTAGGAAGCATATCCAGGACTAGTGTTCTGTGGAAAATTCTTTGGGGTGTATTAGTATACATTTAAATTAAAAATATGTTTTTTATTTTTTTAAGATTTTATTTATTTATTTGACAGAGAGAGAGAGGTAGAGAGAGAGCACAAGTAGAGGGAGCAGCAGGCAGAGGGAGAAGCAGGCTCCCTGATGAGCAGAGAGCCCAGCGAGGGGCTCGATCCCAGGACCCTGGGATCAGGACCTGAGCCGAAGGCAGACGCTTAACGACTGAGCCACCCAGGCACCCCAAATAAAAAATAAATTTAATTTAATTTAATTTTTTCAAAGGTTGATTCCACAAACACATTTTGTGTTTGTAAAAGATATCCATAGCGGTTCCGATAAACTCTGATTTCTCCGAAGTTATTTTCCAAAAGAGTTTTTAAACACAGATAAATAGATCTGATTTGTAGCTTTAACAACAATAAATAGCCTGTAATTTTATACCTCTTACCCATGAGAATTAATAGGGACAAAAATAATATTTTACTCTTATGACAAGAATATAATGAATTCACTACTTTCTATAGATTGCTAGCAGGCAAAATAAAAAAGCACCAAATAATTTGATTCTATTTATTGAGGAGTTTTAAATCCTCTTGCTCATTTTTTTTTCTCTAAGTGTTCCAGTGTTTGATTACAAAAAGAATTAGTATCAAAAATATTTGCGACAACGTGACTCAGAAGTCTAGAGGCTTACTAAAAAGAGATAAAGAATCAGACATAGCCTGAGAAAGGAGTTTGGCTGAGTATTTCTAATCACAAAGTCTTAAGTTAGAGGCAACTTTTAAAATATGTGCTGCCTGTTTCTTTTCCAGGGTGACAACTGTCACAGCAATGTAAAAATTTGCATGATGGAATTGGTTGGATTTTTTTTTTTTTTGAGGATGAGGATAATTGATTTGTATTCATCATTTTTACTACCAAATAATTCTGGAACATTTGCCAAATAGCTGTCAAATGACCATTTTAAGTAATTTTTACATTCTTAAGAATAAACATCTCTAACCCACTGTTCTCAGAAAACAATGACTATTTCAATTTGATTAAGTGAAATGAGAATTGAAATTGTATTTCTATTTGGTTTTCTTCTTTGTCTCCTCAGCTGTTGAGAAATACCCCAATGTGAAGGTGCACTTTGGCCACAGGCTGTTGAAATGTAATCCTGAGGAAGGAGTGATCACAGTGCTTGGGTAATCACTGGTCAGCCTGTTGACTGCAGAGGTGAAGGGTTGACACAGAGAACTGGATCTGTAAACTTTGTTCTCTGGCTTATTTGAAAGAGTTAAATGATTACCAAAAAGGGATTCAAAGGATTTCAGGTCAAAAACCGGCCTTGGCTGCCTTCTGAACACCAACACCAGTGATTCTTCTTGATTCTGAACCTGGCTCAGCGTCCTACCCCTGGTGGCCATCGTCTTCAAACGCTCTCTGCCCTTGAAACAGATGACCCTCCACTGCTCTGTGTTTCCCCTCCTCTTTCTGGAAATGATTTGTCTGCCTCTCCTTGGCTGCCTCTGTTTCCTCTGAAGTTCCTAGTCCCATGTCCCATTCTTGCGATATGTTATGGATTCCCAGTCTGTTCAGCGACCACTTTTAAATTCACTTCACTAAAATGAACCTCTCTAGGGTACCTGGGTGGCTCAGATGGTTAAGCGTCTGCCTTCGGCCCAGGTCATGATCCCAGGGTCCTGGGATCGGGTCCCGCATCGGGCTCCCTGCTCCTTGGGAGCCTGCTTCTCCCTCTGCCCCTCTCTCTCTCTCTCTGACTTTCATGAATAAATAAATAAAACATTTTAAAATGAACCTCTCTAGCCCACTCTCTTCACTCTCCTTATTGCAATCCTAATCCATGCTACTTTCCTGTTCGACACCTTCACAGGTACCTCTTGCCATGACCTCAAACACATCTTAAAACTTCACCACCTATTTCTCTCCAAGCATGTCTACTCCTGACTTCCCTAGTGCTATCACCCAAATCATTAGAGTCATTCTTGTTGTGCCCTCTTCCCTGTTTCCTCCCATTAAATCTATGACCCCTGCCCAGTCTTTCTTACTCCCTGATGGCTTCCGAGCCTACATCTTTCTCCAGAGCCCCGTGGTCTCTGGGCTGTCCCGTCTGCACACGCAGTTTGCTGCACTCACCTAGTCCTCTCCGTGTCCCCTCCCTCCTGAACTCTGCCTCCAGTTCAATACATCCAGTGCCAAATGAGTTTTTCTAAATTACCACACTTCCTACATCAACCCCCCCAGTGGAAAAAGTTATTTTCTCTCTTTTGCTAGAAGAATGTATTTAAACCTTTTGTCTTAACATTCAAAATTCTCTTCTTCTGCTCCCTCTTTTCCCTCCCCACATTGTCTTCTTTCCCTGAGCTTATCTCCCGATACCCTGCACTCAAGCTAAACACACGGCTCTTGGCAAGTCCTGGGCACATCCATGCTGTGGTCTGTCCCTTCCCTCACTCTGCCTTCTTCTGGAGACTCCCTCCCTTTGTGCAGGGAGCTTTAGTCACACTTCCGTGGCCTGGCATGTCTTTATTAATGAGTACAGTGGTGCTATCCTCATCACGGTCTCTCCGGACAAGGGCCATCATCTTCATTCTATAGCTATTGACTCCAAGCTCAAAAGTCAGATATGTACAAGTGAGGAGGGGCCCCCCTGAGTTGCTACTTTTTTATACCCAAACAGATGAACATCATCATTTTTACCACTAGACTGTTGTTTTTTTTTTAATGGTCCACTTTATTTTTCAGATCTGACAAAGTTCCCATAGATGTCACTTACGACCTCATTGCAGGATGTGATGGAGCATACTCCACTGTCAGAAGTCACTTCATGAAGAAACCCCGCTTTGATTACAGTCAGCAGTACATTCCTCATGGGTACATGGAGCTCACCATCCCACCCAAGAATGGGGATGTAAGTCCTTTCCCTTCTTTGGCTCCTCCCCACAGCCGTCCCACCCCTCGGACTAGGGAAGACACGTATTCTAGTGCACTTGTTCTTGGCAGCATGTCTGGATGAATTCTCAGGTCTGTCATAGTCCCTTGTAAGGCATAATAAGTTGGGTGTGCAAATATCCCTTTAATAATATCACTTCTCTCCTTTGCCTTCGAGATATGCTTTCTTGAGTGGGCAGGAAAGATGAGACATCACAGCTACCCTACTGGAAATGCACAGGGAATTTGTCTGACATAATCATGTCATTTTTCTATTCTTTCTTGGGAGGGAAAAAATGGTCAGGAATCTTTCTGTATACTGACAATACAGAGTTCTTATACTCATGACTATATCAAATTATAGTTATTAAATAAAGTGAATAGAAGTTGTTGCAAAGAGGTTTCCATTGCATTTTTCTCATTTCTTAGTTCCCAAGTTCAACCCTATGTGGCTTGAGGCAAGTACATCCTAGGTATGTTTTATATCGTCATAAGTAAATGTAGGAACTGACTAAGGGAAATTAAAATACTAGCAAAAACAACAAGGATCTTGGCTTACAGGTAAAGGTAAGTAAATAGTGTTCATTAAAATTTGATTTACATAGAAAACATCTGTTTTTGAGGTACAGATACAATCTATCTTATTTGAAATTCAGACATCTATAAAATAGCTAGTCAATTTGTGATAGTGCTATTACATACCAGGTATATAACCAAACTGTATCAGCCAGTCAAATCTGTATTTTAACATTAAATCATTGTCTATTTTTTCCTCCTAGTCACAAAAGTATTTAGTAATTCTGAAGTGCTAGTCTTATGGTTTTCAGGTGAGCCTTGTTCTCATGGCCCAGGATCTGATAATCCTGAGTTATAGGATATTAGGATCGTGTTGAAAAATAACCCCGGACGAGTGGACTCATGCCTCCTAACGTAGATTTAAGATCGCCATTTATTTTTTCTAGGTGTTCATATTTAATAGTGATGATTAGTGGTTTACAAAAAGTCTCTGCTCTTAAAGAAAGAACACTGTTTTGACATAGCATTGGGACTCAGACCTGGAAGTATTTTAACATGGCCTCAAAACAATCCTAGGAAAACTCCCTTCCTTCCCTTCCTTCCTTCCTTCCTTCCTTCCTTCCTTCCTTCCTTCCTTCCTTCCTTCCCTCCACCTGTCTCTGTCTCTCTGTCCTGCCTCCCCTTTCTTTAACATAATAGACTCTCCATTCCATCTCCAAGGGTTGGAGTGGGGGAGAAAGATTGGCTGAGGGACAGCATGGGTTAATATTGGGGGGGTGCTTAGAGATTTGGGTGGGAGGCTCATCTCGAAGCTGCTTTTGCATAGCAAGCAACTGTTTTGCTCACATTTCATGTTTGGAAAGACGTGGTGAGGGCCCAATGGGGATTACTGGAGCCTGCTCTTGGATAAAGATATCTATTGAGAGTATGACTTGATAATAAAGAAGCTGAAATTTTAAAGGATTATTTTCTGGAGTCGTGAAATATGTATGAACATCAGACTATTCTTGGTATCATAGTTGCTACATCAAAACAACATATAAACCGCTAATGGTGAGGATGGGGCGGGAGGGGAGGTGTATGTATTGTCTCCCGAACTTTTTCATCAGCTGTTTGAACCTTCACTAATGTAGTAAATGATAAATTGGTTTCAGAGCTTCACTCTTATCTTTTGGAGTTCTAAAAGGTCATAGAAGGGGGGCGGAGCAAGATGGCAGAGGAGTAGGAGACCTGGATTTCATCTGAATTCTCAGGAATTCAGCTGAATAGGGATCAAACCATTCTGAACACCTACGAACTCAACAGGAGATCAGAGAAGAGAGTAGCAACAACTCTCTGAACAGAGAAGCAACCACTTTCTGGAAGGTAGGACGTGCGGAGAAGTGAATCCGAGGTGATATTCAGGAGGATAGACGGCAGGGGAGGGGCCTCTGTCGGCCGCTTCTGGCAAGTGCTAGAGCCGCGGAGCACAAAATCAGAACTTTTAGAAGTCGGCTCGGCTGAGGGACATCACTCCAGTGGCTAAGTGGGGGGGTGGAACCCTTGCAAGACAGTGTGGTCTCAGGACCCTCGGGGTCACAGAAAGACCGTTGGTGCCGGAGTGCGGCAGAGCTCCCAGGTATCGGAGCAGGAAGCCGGCTGCAGAGACGGAGCCAAGGCGCGGGCTCTCAGCTCGGGGTGGCCATAAACTGTGATCCGCGGCCCAGTCGGGCCACTCCTCCTCCAGCAGGGACCCAACAAGCGGCAGAGCCGGGGAGATTCCCTTCCTCCCCGGGGAGGAGCGGCGCGGGAGCGCACCGCAGGGATCTGCTGGGTTTGGAGACTCCACACGGGGTCGTGAGCCAGAGATAGAAACACTCGGTCACAGGCCAGGTGAGCACAGAGTGCGCCCAGAGACCGGGGACACGGGAGTGATTGACTGCTTTTCTCTAGGGGAGCACTGAGGAGCGGGGCCCTGAGTTCTCAGCTCCTCCAGGCAGAAGGTGGGAGGCCACCATTTTCACCCTGGTCCTCCAAAGCTGTACCGAGAGCTTGCAGGGAACAAAAGCTCCTGAGAGCAAACCCGAGCAGCTTGCTTAGCCCGGACGACAAGGGCGGGGCAATTCCGCCTCCGGCAAAGACATTTGGGAACCATGGCAACAGGCCCCTCCCCCAGAAGATCAGCAGGAACAGCCAGCAAGCCAAGACCAAGTTTACTGATCAAGGAGAACGGGAGAACTCCAGCGCTAGGGGAATACTGCACATAGAATTCATAGCTTTTTTACCATGATTCATTAGTTTTTCAAAGTTAATTTTTTTAACTGTTTTTTTTTTAATTTTTCTTTTTCCCTTTTTCAACCAACATCTTATCAATCCCTTTTTTAAAAAAACATTTTTTATTTTTCATTTTTAGAGTCATATTTTATCCCTTCATAGTAGTTACCCTTATTTTTGGCATATATATATATAAGTTCTCTCTTTAAAATTTTGATATACAGTTTCTTCTAACAGATCAAAATATACCCTAAATCACTAGTGTATGGCTTTGTTCTGGTCTCCTGCCTGATCACAGTCTCTCCCATTTTTTTCCCTTTTTTTTTTAAATCTTCTTTCTTCTTTCAAACAACTTCTTATCAATTCCTTTTATAAAATCTTTTATAATTTTCATCTTTACAGTCATCTTCCATTCCTTCATTGTATCAACCCTTATTTTGTACATATATAAGTCTTTCTTCCTTTAAAATTTTAGGAGGCACTTTTTTCTAACAGACCAAAATACGCCCAAAATGTAGTGTGTGGCACTGATCTATGCACTAGCCTGATCATATTTGATCATATTCTGTTTTTGTTTTTATCTTTTTTTTTTCTTTCGTTTTTCTTTCTTTCCCTTTCTTTTCCCCTGGATTCAGATCTTTTCTGATTTGTATAGAGTATATTTGCTGGGGACGTTGTTAACCTGTTAGCATTTTGTTCTCTCATTCATCTCTTCTCCTCTGGACAAGATGACAAGAAAAAAAAAATCACCTCAGCAAAAAGAAAAAGAGGTAATACTGTCAGCCAGGGACCTACGCAGTACGGACATTAGTACGATGTCGGACCTAGAGTTCAGAATCATGACTTTAAAGATACTAGCTGGGCTTGAAAAAAGCGTGGAA